TTGGGTTTTTGGATACAAGGGTTGGTTAAAATCAAGCCAACACTGATMTTTTATCAGTATCACATGAGCAGGCCGAACCCTCCATGTTTAGATGAAGTTTTATCCCCAAGCCCCTCACCCATTTTGCAGAGCCATACCTGTTAAACCTCAGGTCCTTCCTTTCTTCTTTGGAGACCTGGCCCAGGCTGTATCTCCTCACCGAGCCAGGGGTGCTGTTGTCCACACTGATTTTCTCTTCAAAAGCCTGGATTTTAACTTGGAGCTTTTCATCTTCCTCACTGCCATTGACGACRGATTTTAAATCATCCAGTGGCACAGGACGCTTTTCTTCAGGGTCATTTTCTGTCCTAAGGGAGCAGAAAGCAGAGGTTTAACCCTGGCACTTTGGGTTCATTGTGCTGTGTTTCTGCCTGGGACTTGTATTCTGGACCTGCTAAAATAATTASGTTTAATCAGAGATTCCTTTAAGTTATTTTCAGGAACATCTTCTGGATCAATATCTCTGATGATCAGAACCCTGAACATCCCTGACAGCCCTGGATTACAAACTGCATGTGCWGTCTCTGCACAAGGAAATCACAACTCCTTCCCTGAGAGTCAAAAAGTTTTTAATCTGAACTCAAACCACTCTCTCAAAATTGCTAAACACTGACTTATTGCATTATTTTCACAAGCTGTTTGCAGAGTTTATAGAATTCTGTGGTTTTAAAGCTTTGACCAAAGTACATGCAGTTCTGACCAAATTATTGTGCCCCGAGGAAGAAAAATATCTTTTAAAACTCGTGAAAAATTCTAAGCAGCGTGACTCCTGCTCRGCAAGGAGAAAATGAAGGGTTAAAATGAATTTGAGGGGCTGCAGGAYGAGTAGCTTTGTTTGGATTTGTTATGTTCATCTTAAAAATCACAGAATSRGGGAATGGTTTGGGTTGGAGGGATCCTAAAACCCAYCCAGTGCCMCCCCTGCCAKGGCAGGGACACCTCCCACTGTCCCAGGCTGCTCCAGCCCCAATGTCCAGCCTGGTCTGGGCACTGCCAGGGATCCAGGGRCAGCCACAATGTGTAACATTGTGTAAAATGTACCAATGTGGAACATTTGAATGCAAAATTCAAAGGTAGCTTTCAAATAAATTGAAGGGAAGCTGTCAATCTTAAAGGATGAAACGAAATCTGTTGGAAAAGACACTGCTGGTCAAAATGTGCTGGGTTTTCCCCAACAGCTTCTGAAAATGGCTTTTTCTGGGTTCCTTCGTCGCTCAGAGCCTGCAGAGAGACTCAGCCCCTCCCAGAATTTGGCCATTTGCTGGAAWCCTGAACTTGGAGTGTCTTTACTCTGCCTTGAAGCTGCAGCAGCAGCAGGATTGATTCTCCCAGGGACCAACAGCAAGAGCAGCACTGCTCCTTCCCCCTCCCTCTCCTCTGGGACGATGGGCACATTCCCATCCCACTCCTGCAGCTCAGGAATGAGTGGCCCAAAAAATCATGGAAGCAGCACAAAGCAATCAGGAATCTCTTGGAGAACCAAGGGGCATTGGGCAGGATTTACTTTTCAAACCTCCCCCAGCTCTAAAACAAGTTTGTTTTGCTTATGACCATTTCTTTGTTTGATTTTCTTTTTTTTTTCCCCTGATGAACAAACATGTGAAGAGCTAAATCTGTAAAACGTGGGTAGATAAAACCACAAACGAGGGGTTTAACACAGCCCTTCCAGAGCAGAGAGTCTCACAAGTCACGCTCGCAGTGGGGRAGCCCATTAAAAACTCCCCAAACTGCAAATTACCAATTGTAAAAAGCCAGGCTTTTCAAAAACAGCCAGAAACACGGCATCACAAAATGCACTTTTTCACTTGTTTTGATAAAGGCAGTTCAGGATATTTCTCAGGGGAGCTGGCAAGTTTTGTCTTGCTTTGTTTTTAATTTAAGCAAGATCTCATAATATATTAACACCGAGGAGCCCTTGAAAAATATTCTTCTGTCATAAAGACCCTTGATGTGACCTTTCCTAACAAATCTTCCTGGGGATGTAGGACAAGATTTAATTTATTGGAAAGCAGTGAGTCCAGCACAGCTCCCAACACTGCTCCCATTGTGGAGCTGAGGGTGGAGGAAAACTTCATCTCCCTGTGTAAATATGGGCACAGAGAGGGGATTGATGGACTGATGGGCTTTGGGAGTGACAAACCCCAATCAGGGAGCTTTGGTGATGTTTGGAATTGAAAATGGGGTTTGAACAGCACCTCTTTGTGCAGAATCCTCCTGTTGAGCTCCCGGGGCTTTGTGAAGGGAGCACAAGGAAATAGTTCTGTTAAAGGATAATCAAATCTTTAAGGATGGAAAAGAAACATGGATAATCCCATTTTCCATATGCAGAGCAGGAAAAGGTCACTCCAGGCTGTGGAGGGTGGGGTTCCCAACCAGCACCTCATTTTTGCCCCGTTGGTGCCAGGATGTCCGAGGGGCAGCACGGGGACACCAAGAACCCACCCCACCCATGAGATCTCTGTGCCCCAGCCTTGGGCTCTCAGCAGCTCCTGGGGAAGCACAAACCCCACCAAAAATCGGTGTTCTGCCCTGATCTCTGACAGCCAGGCCGAGATAACCTAGGCAGAGAGGGGTGGGGAGGAAATCACATTGAAAATAAAGAAAGAAGTAAATAAAACCAAGGAGCAGTGAGAGAAAATCATCTGTAACCACACTCACACAGACAACAAAGCTTCTACTCTTCAGCCAGTCCTTAACACAAAGAATTTTAGAGAGAAACAGTCAGATTTTGATTAAAAACCTTTTCTTGTTTTTAACTGTTTTTCTTTTAAAATCATCTCTTTTAGAGATAAGCGTTAAGCTCAGAATGTAATAAGGAATAGGACTATCACAGTATTTTAACAAATAAAGTAATCTTTCAACTACAAATTGAGGCACCATGGTGGGTTGTGTAGATTATTATTATTACTATTACTACTACTATGACTATAATAATAACTATTATTATTATTATTATTATTATTATTATTGTTATTATGCCTCAATCCTTGTCCTGCCCCTGTGCAGTTCCCAGCAAACAGGACATCCTTTTTGTCCCTTCACTGAGTTCCACCTGGCATCCCGTTCTCCCCAGTAACCCTGGCTGCTTTGGTGAGGTGGGTGCTGTTTCCTGCTCGCTTTGTTTTCTCCTCTTTACCTCCAGTGGAATTTTTCATAAAGCCAGMACTGAGGGCTGATTCCTGCTGAGGTTCTGCCACCAGGTGAAGCTTGGACATTTCTCAGAGCAGTGAGGGGTCCTGTCTGGGTTCCTCTCTCATTTCTGCCTCTCTCCAGGACACCAATGAATTGTTTCTGCCCTGACCTCAATGTTTTGGCTCCAGTGCTCCCAGTCTGGCTCCAGGGCTGTCCTGCACTGTGCRGAGTTTCTGACATCTGTGTTCCATTTTTCCAAAGAATCGCTATTCCTCTGTGCCCTCCTGACCTATTGCAGCACACACAACTCTCATTAAAGTCTCTCACTAATTAGAAGTGACTTCCACGCTGTATTTACGAAACACCTCCATCCTCACCGTGACGAGCACCACAGCGCTTTAACCTCAGCACGCAGAGCCACGAGCAGCTGAGTGAGCACAACATCTCGCTGTGGATGCTGGAGACATTTTTTCCCAACTTTTTTTAGCCAAATCTTCCTCRGGGAGCTGCGCCAGCCATTGTTCTCACCCCTCAGTGAGCATTTTCTACAATAAACTCCGTGATAATCGTCAGGCCTGACTTCACTGATTTATTTTTAACGGAGGCTTTTTAGCTTGCTTAAATCTGCTGATCTGGGGCAATGTGAGCACGTTTAACAGGGATGTTGCTGCCTGCCAGAGCCCTGGGGAGGCTGAGGGATGCTGAGGGATGCTCAGGGATGCTCAGGGACGCTGAGGGATGCTGAGGGAGGCTCAGGGAGGCTGAGGGATGCTCAGGGATGCTGAGGGATGCTCAGGGATGCTGAGGGAGGCTCAGGGATGCTCAGGGAGGGTGAGGGATGCTCAGGGATGCTGAGGGATGCTCAGGGAGGCTGAGGGAGGCTGAGGGAGGCTCAGGGATGCTCAGGGAGGCTGAGGGAGGCTGAGGGAGGCTGAGGGAGGCTGAGGGAGGCTGAGGGATGCTCAGGGATGCTCAGGGAGGCTGAGGGA